AAACTGTCATTAATTAGTAATAAGGCAAGAGCTGTCCTCCAGAAGTCATCGATGCGATTGCGAAGTGCAAGCGCGGCGGCGGCAGCTCCTTGGTCGTTTGGTTTGATGCTTAGCTTCAGGTGTGAGGGGCCCTTAGAAACATCAGGTGACAAGTCCCTCGATGACTTGTTCCTTGAGTACTTAAGATGTGGTGGCAGATGGATGGAATCGAACTTGGTGGTCAAGCAAGTCACCAGCAAGGGCCAGCTGGTGGAAGGGGTTGAGTGCTATATGCGCTACATGGATTTGAAGAAGAAGGAGGGGGCAGTCAGTGCCAAGCTCATTCGAGACGAAAAGCGGGCCCTCCAGGAAAAGCTCGACCAGTCTGCAGCTCCAGATCCAGATGTGTTGCCATTCATAATGGCCCATCCGGACCTTCCTGGCTCGGAGGACTCATGTGACTATACATTAATTGTGTGTGTACTAGTACTGTGCATTATTAATATATCCATAGATAGTTATGAGGTGTAGCCCAATTGCACTTGCTAGGATTGGGAGCTGGTGCGAGTGTTTGAGTCGGCGAAGATCACCAAGAGTGCCAACCGGAAGTCGGAAGCTACTCTATCCACAGATATGGATCTGGATGGGGAGCAAACCCGTGCTATCCTGTTTCTTGGTTAGAATAAAGTCATCTGGCCTCACACCTCGTAGAGTGCAATCCCTAAAACCCTAATATCCTAAATCTTAATCCCAACCCCCAAACCCGAAACCCCAATCCCAAACCCCAATGCCTCCCAAGACTGGGGATATCAGCCCTGGGTTGTTCTTAGGGTTTTGAATTTAGGCTGCAGGGTTTAGGGTTCAGGGTTTGGGGTTCAGTTTTAGCAGCAGTACTTAGGCTGTATAGGTATGACCCCACCATAACCGAATCTCTAGGACCCTTGGGGATAATAACCCCTCCTGACCCCAGAATGCAGGCCGTGTGCCCTGGGCCTTGGGAAGTCCAATGGGCCGCTGCCAATATCCAGCTCGAGTGCCGCCTTGCCAATGCCAGCTGGCTTGCGATCTCTTGGGTCAGCGGAAAGCTTACAGAAGGAGCAAGAAGAGCTCAAGAAGCTCAGGAAGGCTGGCAAAGGTGGATTTGCAAGCCAACTGCGCTCAAAAAACAAGCTAGTGGAAGACAAGATCAAAGAGCTCGATGAAATCCAATCGAAGCTTGCTGAAAAGCCCCCTCACCTGCTACTTAGCTCATATATATATAGTTGCCCTGTTCAACCCCTGCCGTATCCTAGCCTGTGTCCCAGGTCCGCACCTCTGCGCAATGGCTATCACGACGAACTCGAGCTCCACCGTGCTTCCTTGAAGGAAGCACTTGAGAAGCTGCAGGCATTCAATTTGGGGTCCAGGGTACCGGTGTTTCTTCGATTGAACCTGGAAACCCGAAACCGAAATCCGAAACCCAACACATCTACACCCTCCAGCTCCTAAACCCCTAACCCCTGAAAATCCAAACCCAAATTCTTCTAAACCCAAACCCAAAACCCTCCTAAACCTATAATAAGCCCTCCTAAGCCCTATATATACTGATCCTACAAAGACTAAAACCCAACATCCATTATTGAACCCTCCTCGATCCCACACCCAATATCTAACCCTAAATCCAGCCCTGTGAAGCCGGTGTGAGGCTGATGGTTTGGAGGACCCCGCAGAGCAGCAGCAGTGCATCGAAATGCTGGCCAACTGTATCAAGAACTACTCTGACTCCGCCAACATGATCAAGAAGAAGGTTGTGCCCTCGATAATTTAAGCCATAATCCCAACCCCTTACATCCTAGGTCCTACACCCATAATCTACCAGAGCCTAGAGCCTAATGCGCAGTAGCTCCCTTATGCCTTTTCTGCAACCTAGGCAGAGCCGAAGCCCAAGGAGGCCGCAAAACCCAAAGCCAAGGCAAAGGGTAAGGCTAAGTCCAAGAAGTGATTCTGGAGCCGAGTGCATTAGCACCTACAGTACTGGTCAAATGTGTGGGATGGCAACCTGTGCAGCCAGCATGGTGCTGTACACTGCATGTGCACACAATGACCCAAATATAATGTAAACTTGCCGTATACTGGGATCTTAATGGGGTCAATGTGACTGCAAATTCCATTGGGTCCATGTGTGGCCATGCAGGGAGTGAGCTCGAATCATGGGGGGGCTTCACTCGGTGCAGCAGTGGTGGGTATGTGCATGTGTGGCCCTAGGCCTGCACATATTTTGTGACCGGCATGCGGGCAGAACCTGCGTGCGATTTAAAACCTGACCAGTGCAATGCAGCTGGTCCATGTCACACTGATATGTCGATGCAGCGTGTGGCGAGGACACACAAAAGCATGCTGTGACTGGGCTGTGCTGCAAAGTCAATTGCAATTTCCGATCTATAGCTAGATAGTTGTGCCCGCGCAGGTGTCGAGAAGAAAAGCTTGGGGCCTCTTTGTCGACATGTCATGAAATGTGCCGGGAAAGG